CATTGGATTTATCCAGTCTGAGCTCTTCATCCTCTGTGGAATTCTCCAGTCTCACTTCTTCATCTTCTCTGGACCTTTCAAGTCTCACATCTTCATTCTCCTCAGACTTCTCCAGTACCTCCTCTTCAATTTCCTTGGAGCTCTCCAGCCTCACCTCTTCAGATTCCTGGGAGCGTTCCAGTTTCTCCTCTTCAGTTTCACTGGACCTATCAAGTCTCACTTCATCAGGCTCTGTGGATCAGTCTGGTGACAGTTCTTCAATCTCTTTAGACCTCTCAAGTGTCACCTCTCTATCCACAGATTTCTCCAGCCCTACTTCTTCACTCTCTCTAGACCTCTCCAGTCTCACTTCTCCGTCCTCCACAGATGTTTCCAGTCACACCTCCTCAGCTTCCCTGGACTTTTCCTGTACAATCCCTCCATCCTCCCCAGGTGTCTCTGAGAACAGCTCCTCCACCTCGTCGGAATCTCTAGACCTCACCGATTTTAACTATTTCGTGTTTCAGCGCTCCTCTGGATTATCTCCATCAACTCCCGAGGATGTTTCCAGCCTCATCTCTACACCTTTTCTGGATGTCTCCAGTCTCACCTTTCAGGATGCTTCTTCCCTCAGTCCCTCAGTTTCTTTGGACATGTCTAACCTCACGTCCTTAGCTCCCCCAGACCTGTCCACGCTCACGTTTCTGGACGTTGCTAATCGCACTGCAGCGGCTTCCCTCGACCTCTGCATCTAACCCTGCTAACCCAGCCCCTCCCTCTGCAGCCTCCTCAGCTTCTCTCCTTTCTTCTCTCCCTGAAAATTCCTACCGAGGAAATTTTAGGGCTTTACAAAACATCTCCTGGCATCTAAACTGGGCATGAAAACAGGTGATACAAATCTGTAACGGTGCCTTGGAACAGCTGCACAAACATCAGTGTTCGTTCTGGAATTTTGGTAGAGCACGGTTTCTGTCACTGAGTGAGATCCAGTCATGGTTGGTACCTCTCCCAAAGGTTTAGCTTTTTCAGTTCATGCTGAATTTTTATATATCAAGACCAACACATAGTAAAGAGAGCTAAATGTGTAAGTAATTGCATCCAGGTTGTGTATCTCCATTATGGATTTATATCCGAGTTAATTTCACAGAATTGCAGGCAGAGGCATTTCACAGGGAGGCACAGAGAGAGAAAATGTGGTGGAAAAGAAAATTGTGGAGCAAAAACCAGGTGAGAAATGGGTCAGGGAGAGGAAGCAGAGAAACTGTGGGGCAGGAATAGAGGGGCATCTAGCTGAAAAAAAAAATCCAACCCTGCTGGCATGATTTTTCTCTGCCAAGCCATCCCTGGGGCCTGGGCTGTCCATGAGGCTTAAAATAATCTTATTGCTAATTATTTTACCTTTCAAATCATCAGATGTTCCCACTGAAGAAGCATTTGCATGTTACATCCTCTTTTTCAGTTTATGTAAGTATTGCAGTTACTTGTCTTGCATCAAATATGCTGCTCAGGTAGCACAGAGGGGCTTCCCAAAATCTTTGGTGCTGTCTTGTATATTTTTGTTATCATTGTTATGACTGGGGCTTGGAAACCAAATATATTTCCTTTCAATATCACTGGCACCTTTCTGTGTTAAAAGTGCACAAACATGTTTGTCATAACAAATATTTTTTCATTTATTTCATTTCTGCAAATTGGAAAGCTTTGCTCCAATATGCCACGTCTGTCACAAAATTAAAATATGTTTCACACAAAAATAAAGAAGAAAACAAATGTATGAATTAAGAATTGTTTTCTGCCTCGTCTACACTAGTTATTTCCTTAAAATTAAGTAGGGCCAATTGCAATATGTGTATTTAAGAAATTAACCCAAAATTCTATAGGAGCAGAGTTGGTTAACATTTAAAAAAAATGACAGATCACTGGTCCAGATCTGACTGCTGTATGCTGAGACAGACTGACATACCTGGTGATCAATTGTTCTTTTTGCTCTGGGGGCTCTCCCCTGACATCATCACCGTGTGGGCTGTTAATTGCAAAGGTGCTGGACTAAATGAGATCTCTAATAAAGCTGAAAATTACTCTGTGCTTTAAAAATGGTTTGACTTTGGATGAAAGGAAGTAAAAGAGAACAAAACAAAAGTGCAAGGATTTGTTTAAAAGCCGGTATTTAATCTCCTTAAATATTTTGTATTAATTATTTAAATGAACATTAGGTAAGGACCAAATTGCTTACATATCAAACATGATTTTAATCTTCTAACAGCTTTTTGTTTATTATATCTGGGAAATTGACTATTTTTTTCTTTGTGTCGACAGCTTCTAGTTTACTATGTTGTCTTTTGTGGATTTGTTTAGAGGAAATGATTGAATTTCAGGTGTTTGTATCAACATCCATGGCAAGGCACCGTGCCCCATGGGACAGCACTGTCACAGCCCGGCCACACATGGATCAACTCCAAAATTAAAACAGTCTGCTTAAAAAACATCACTGGCTCCACATGCTTGTAAAATGGTTTTATTATTAATGTCTTATCTAGAAAAAAAAAAAACAAACCAGGAAGTGATGGTAGAGAGGGGAAAGAACAGCTTTAGGTGCAAAAGACACCCATTTAACTTGCTCGGATTCTTCGATTACAACAGGATTGCTGAGGAAGGAGTTAATGTGTAACTAACACAGGTGCTCTATAACCAGCCATGACCCTCACAGAAAACTCGCCCTTCACCTTATGCTCTTTAGATATTTGACATTTAGCGTATTTCCGCCAATTCCCAGCACTGAACCACTGAACCGACTCCCGTGGTTTTGACAGGCAGGCGGGCCCCGGCCGGCCGCAGGCGGGACGCCCCCATCCCGGGAAGGGCACGACCCTTCCCTCACAGCCGCGGCCGGAGCCGCCCTGAGGGGCCGGTGCCGCCATGGCCCCGCCCACCGCCCCTCACGGCCGCGGGGCCGCCCGGGCCGAGGGGAAGGGGCGGGGCGAGCCCGGGGCGCGTCAGGCGGAAAGGGCGGGAACCGTGCCCCGGAATGGAGCCCTCTGATTGGTCGCCGGCGGAGGCGCGCGCCCGCGAACGGCGGCGCGCGTGAGCGGCTCCCGCCCGCTGATTGGCCGGCGGGCACGTCCCCTGCGGCGCGCGCTGACCTTGCCCCGCGGAGCCGCAGCCATGGTGGCGTATTGGCGACAGGCCGGGCTCAGGTACGGCGGCGGCGGCGGCGGCCCCGCTGTGAGGGAGTGCGGGGTCACAGCGGGGCCGGGGGAACGCGGCGTTGGGGCGGGGGAGGCGGCGTTGGGGACGGGCCCGGGTCTCACCGCTCTCTGTCGCCCCGGCCGCAGCTACATTCGGTACTCGCAGATCTGCGCCCAGGCGGTGCGGGCCGCCATGAAGCCGCAGTACAAAGCGGAGGCGGAGAGGGCAGCGGTGGCCACGGTGAAAACGGTGAAGCCCAAAAAGGAGTGAAATGTAAGTGGGTGGGGTGGGCTGGGTGCGTGGTTGGAGCTGTGTAGTGCAGGAGTGGCGTTAGCCGTAGTCAGTGACTGCCGAGTCCATTAATCCCCAATATCTGGAGATAATCGGCTCGATTTCCATGGGATTGGGGCTGGTGTGGGGCGAATGTGCGCAGGTGTTCGTGGCCTGGTGACGCGTGGGATGGGAAGCAGCCTGATCTCATCAGTGAGGCGAGAGGAACTGTCTGTCAAGCCCTGCACTGAACCACTTGGGGTTTGCTCAGACCCGTTAGGGGCTTACACAGAAATTACACAGACATTTCACAGCCGCGGCTCTGTGGTGATGCTCACAGGCTTCTCGATGATTTTCACCTTTCATACTTGCTAAGCCAGCAGACAGCCTCTCTGAATTGCTCCTTCCCCTGATCAGCAAATCTGTTGTATGGGTTTTCTGCTCTCTGTGAGACAGATGCTGCTTATCTCTTTATTTGTGCCGTCCCATACATCACAAGCAGCTGATTATTTTCTGTTCTGGACAGAACAGTTTCTGTTCCTGACCTGAGATTAAATATCATTACCTTTTGTTTACCTTGTACACATTCTTGAATTGAATAACTTGTATTTTTAATCTCTTGTAGGAGCTGATCTGTGGTGTATAACAGCAAACTGCAAAGCTGTAGGCAAGCTCAAGACTGCAGTGTAATGTCATCACATGAACTGTAGAACTTGCCTGTGTATGTAAATTGACATGCTAATAAATGTAATTTCTGAATGTGTGGAAAGTGTAGTTCCTCTTGAAACAAAGTTTCTGTTCTGCAGCAACATTTACTTTTCAGTTCTCTTAAAATAAAAGGCTGCTTTTAGCACAATCTGGACATTCAGTAGCAAAATTGTTTTTATTTTTAAGCCAAATCTATTTTTGGGTGTCATGCTGATATTTCAGATGCATAAATGAGTGAGAGGTTTGATTGTTGTTTAAAACTTTTCTATCTACTTCATTTAATTATTACTTTGGACAAAAGTCCTGGCTAAAAGCTGTATAAACAGAGAATGTAGCATATAGATTTGAAAACTGAAAGCAGGATAATTGTGCCATGGATGTGCTGCTGGAGATCTGATCTCCAGGTCTGAGACACTGAGCAGTGAATCAGGAATTGGGAGAGCTGGTGTCCTGTGAGAGGTGGGCAAGGAGACACAGGAATGTGAATTGTTTATCCTCGTTGCACATTGCACAGGGAGGAGAGGGAGAGGGACACGTTCCCTGGGAAGCAGGAATGGAGGGGGACACTGCTCTTGGCTGGGAGGCAAAGCTGCTCTCCAGGCTGTGTGGTTTTGGGGGAAGTTTTTGCATTTTCCTGGTCTGTGTATCCTCACAGCAGGGATGACATTGTCCCACTGCACAGGAGAATTGGCTTCAGGTTCCTTCACCATGACTGACCTCAAACATGAGGCATTTCTTTCTTCATAGAACAACAAACCTTTTCACCTAAGAATACAACTAATTTAATTCAAAGTTAGTTCTTTCACGAATAAACTATGGGGGTTTGTCTATCAAGTGTTTCAAATATAAAACTTCCATAGAATGGTATATAATCTTTATTTAAAAGAATATTATAAATACATTAAGTAGGCAGCTGTGATGGCAAGAAATTTTTTTCACCAAAGGCAAAATAAGATTTTGGTTTAGTGACTGCCATAGAATTTACATTAACAAACTACAAACCATTCTATGTCATTTTTGTTGTACTGAATGTTAGGAAAAAAATTTACAGTAGTTAGTACCTAGGAAAAAAAAAATACCACACCAAAACTTTTACACAATGTCACAACTTAGTGTGCTAATGTAACTCAACCTGTAGTTAGAAATACAAACAAACCACACCATGATAATGAATACAAGCTCTGCAATAATGTAAGCCAGCAATGGGATAGAACAATTAAGAGTACTTATAAAATAAGAATGTGCATATTCAGTCATTTGCCCCCTGTTGTTTCTGCAGATCTACATCAGTCTGTGGAGTGATAAAAGAGTCACTGCCTTTGGAGGCCTCAGAGATGTGCACATGTTCCTAAAACAGTAACAAGTTCACAATCAGCAGGGACTGTGTGTACCTGAGAATAAATAAATGTGATGAGCTGACAGCATATTTTGCTATTGCTTAAGATCCTGATCTATATACACAGGCACAGTGGTGTATAGTACATTCAGTATCTGGTGATTATGTTCTGAAAGTGAATCCATTTACAGGAAAGGCTGGTATGAGATAACGTGTCTTCAAGTGGATCGGTTTTGGGAGAGATTCGATCTCAACAGTTGATTAAGGCAGTAATGCAGAGCTGCCATTAATTTCAAAAGCACTGTGTTGGAATATCAGATATACCTGGCCAGATGCACAGAAGAGTTCTGAAGAAATGTGTTATTTTGGATATGCAGATGATGGCTGTTGCTTTGTCTTTAGAGAATGTGAACAGGCTCATTTGGAGAATGTTTTGATACTTTTTACTCTGCTTCCTTTTCTGGCTTGGCTTCTGCTTCCACTTCTACCTCTTCAAACTCCTCCACATCTGCAGTGGCATCCTGGTACTGCTGGTACTCAGACACGAGGTCATTGGTGTTTCCTTCTGCTTCAGAAAACTCCATCTCATCCATGCCTTCCCCCGTGTACCAGTGGAGAAAGGCTTTCCTTCTGAACATGGCCGAGAACTGTTCGGACACCCTGATGAAGAGCTCCTGGATGGCCGTGTTATTGCCAATAAACGTGGCTGCCATCTTCAGCCCTCGCGGCGGGATGTCACACACGGCCACCTTCACGTTGTTAGGGATCCACTCCACAAAGTAGGAGCTGTTCTTGGTCTGGACAGACAGCAGCTGCTCGTCCACTTCCCTGGTGGACATTCTGCCCCTGAAGATGCAGGCGACGGTGAGGTAGCGCCCGCGGCGGGGGTCGCAGGCTGCCATCATGTTCCGGGCATCGAACATCTGCTGGGTGAGCTCTGGCACCGTCAGGGCCCGGTACTGCTGGCTGCCCCGAGCTGTCAGCGGGGCAAAGCCGGGCATGAAGAAGTGCAGGCGAGGAAAGGGCACCATGTTCACCGCCAGCTTCCGTAGATCCGCGTTCAGCTGGCCGGGGAAACGCAGCGAGGTGGTGACGCCGCTCATGGTTAGGGACACCAAGTGGTTGAGGTCCCCGTAGGTGGGGTTGGTGAGCTTTAATGTCCTGAAGCATATATCATACAGAGCTTCGTTGTCAATGCAAAAGGTTTCATCCGTGTTCTCTATCAGCTGGTGGATGGAGAGGATGGCGTTGTACGGCTCCACCACCGTGTCGGACACCTTGGGTGAGGGCACAACGCTGAAGGTGTTCATGATCCTGTCGGGATATTCCTCTCTGATCTTGTTGATGAGGAGCGTCCCCATGCCTGAGCCTGTGCCACCACCAAGGGAATGGATGAGCTGGAACCCCTGAAGGCAGTCACAGCTCTCACACTCGTTCCTGACCACATCCATGACGTTTTCAATCAGTTCAGCACCTTCTGTGTAATGGCCCTTGGCCCAGTTGTTGCCAGCACCTGAATTACCTGTGAACAGAATTACAGAAAGAACGGCCACAAAGTTAACAGGAGAATTTTTAAAGGATTCCAAGGCCCTTTTGGGACAGCTGCCTGCAGTCAGTTTGCTGGCAGTGTGCTGTACATACCATGGATAAAGTTGTCAGGTCGAAAGAGGGGCCCAATTCTGCTGGAGCGGACACTGTCCATCGTCCCAGGCTCCAGGTCCACCAGGATGGAACGGGGCACATATTTATGGGCTGGAAGAAAACAAAATTAATGCAAATAATCACTGCTAGTGGGCAAAGAAACAGGCTTACAATACACTCTGGAAAGTCCAATCCGCCTAGAGTGGTTTAGGCTTTTTGTGGGTTTTTTAATTATTTATTTTACCCTCCCTGTTGGCTCTGCTGAGCACTTACAATAAGCCTCATTGAAGTACACGTTAATTCGCTCCAGCTGCAGTGGTGAATCCCCACGGTAGTTCCCAGTGATGTCAATCCCATGTTCCTCACCAAGCACCTCCCAGAACTGCAAAAGGAAAAGGTACAACACACTGAGAATGATTTTTTTTTCAGCACGTGTTCAGCACCAGCTCTGGGAACTGTGCCTGAAGCAGGGGATGCTCTGCCATTTACTCACCAGATCAGAACAGGGATCCTTCTCTACCCCGCCCAAATAAATTAGAGGGAAAAGTTTAGCAGACCGTTTATGCTGCTTAGCTATGACCTGTGCACTAATAGGTGGAGGCCCTCAATTTGTTCTCTTTATACTAAAAGAAAATTGATGTTAGTTTAAAATTTTAAATAATACTTAGTTCTCAGTATGAGCTTAACAAAAAGGTTGTGAGGGTGTGGATTAAGGAGAGTTGCTTTGAGTCCTGCCATGCACAAGTGGGACCATGGCATGACAAAGCTGGCACAAACAAATTTGTACGTGAGCAAGCCTTTCCACAAACAGCTGCTGGTCCTAAATGTCCTATCTTGACACTCATATGGATGTGCTCTTGTGCTGGGCTCTTATCTGGGTAGCAGCCACAGCAGTGTTCATGCAGACACACCCACCCACTGTAATGACCAGGCTATTCTAATATTAAAGGTCTCCTGGGTTAGCATCCAGTCCCATTTTGAGTGTACAAATACACCACTATCAATAGGTGCATGTTCCATGCTTCATGTTCCATTAAAAGAAATCAAGGTTAGGCATGGGAGAAGGGAGGAAGAACACAGCAGAACAATCCCTCAACTATCCCATGTCTTAAAAGGCCTCCCAGCCCAAAACAGATAATCTTTGGACAACTTCCTACTTATCAATTGAAAAAAACAAAAAGGATGGACATCACACAGCAGAGTAATTGAGGGGTAATTTTATTCCTAGCCCAGAAAGTCAGCAATAGTGACTACTCCCTGTGTCACATAATGCCATTGTTTGAGCTACACAAAAATACTCCAAATGGCACCTGTCTCTCACAGGAGGGCAGTGACACTTTGTGGCATTCTACACTCTGACACAGGTTATGCTATTGATTAATATGATCCCTTGTGATCATTAAAACTCCTTCCAACCCAAACCACTGTATGATTCTGTAATATTTAAGAATTAAATGTGGCAGAGCTGCTGCATGGCTGAGCTAAAGTACCAGCAACACAACTTGACAGCCCTGGAATTACTGGCTCTGTCACTTGCCCCAGTATCTTGCAGGGTATGTGAGTTCCCCCTGGGAACAGGAGTCCCAGCAGGAATGCTCTGGTGCACCTGTAATCACCGGTTATTGCAAATGATTTAAGACTTAAATGTGGCAGAGCTGCTGCATGGCTGAGCTAAAGTACCAGCAACACAACTTCACAGCCCTGGAATTACTGGCTCTGTCACTTGCCCCAGTATCTTGCAGGGTATGTGAGTTCCCCCTGGGAACAGGAGTCCCAGCAGGAATGCTCTGGTGCACCTGTAATCACCGGTTATTGCAAATGAACATTAAACTTAAAGGAGCAAATCCAGCTTTTGCTTTTCATAACAAAACACTCATGTTGTTCCCTGTTAACGCGCCATGCTTCCCACTACTGAGTTACAAGGTAATTGTCCCCCCAGAAGTCCCCATCCACTGATGGTGTGTGACCTGCTACCTGTGATCTGCTAACGATCAGCATTGAAAAGAGACCTTACCTTGGATCCGATTTGGTTCCCACACTGGCCAATCTGCAGGTGCACGATTTCACGCATTTTGTGCGGCTCGGACCCGTCGGTGGCTACGACCTCACCCAGGCTCTCCAGCTCCCCAGAACGAGCCCTCTGCCTGCTGCTCTATCAGCTACACCCAGCCCAGCCCGGCCCAGGGCCCTTTTATACCCCAGGGACTGTCACTCAGCCAGCCCAGCCCGGCCCAGGGCCCTTTTATACCCCAGGGACTGTCACTCAGCCAGCCGGGGGAGTAGCCAGCCCCGGGCTCTGCAGCAGGAGCCCAGGGCTCTTCACTGCCTGGCTGCAGGTACAGCAGCACAGGTGCACCACTGGGAAGCAGCTTTGGAAGCAGCATTGTCACATGCAGCCCTTCCCAGTTCCCTGTGCAGCAGTGTGGTGCATGAATATATGTGCATATTCTGTTTGTGGTGCATTATTTTATATTAGACATACTATGTATACAAATATATGTGCATATGTAGAGATTATAGCCCAAAGTGAGTGATTTTAATTTATTAAGCACATGTGCTTCTGCCACATAATTTAAATTTTAGCATCATGTGAATCATAGAGGACAACACCCATAATAAAAATGGTAACAACGTGTGAGCAGGATTGCAAGGCAAACTCCAGTTCACTAACAAGCATAATTCCTGATGTTTGACTGCATGAAGGAGGGGAACAGGAGCAGGAACAAAACATAATTTGTAACACATAAAAATAATACTGTACCCTCAGTGGTGCATGGTCCTTAAATAGTTATAAGAATCCATCATTTTTAGCCAAAACTCAAATTAACTTGTGACTAACTTGCACAGATGCTCTTTCTCTCTCCCTTCATTTCCTGACATTAAGAAATAAAGCATTTCTAATATTTCCTAATTTCTTATATCTCAGGTGTGCTTCAGAACTTGCCAGGAAAATGCTAGAGGTGAAAACCCCATTTCACTGAAGTTCTCTGAAGTGAACTGTAACATTCACTGAGTGAAACATCTCCCTGTGCTAAAGGAAATTCTGCGAGGCAGAACAAAACACAGCACAGTCATGTTTGGCTGCTGATAACCAGCACCAGTATCACTGAGCAGCAGAAACCCAGGGTAAAATGACTTGTGGAAGCCCAGAGCAGTTTCATGACACGTCAAATGACTGTCACTGCCTTGCAAGTGTTCCTTTTAAGGATGGGGAAAGGAACTATAATTAGGGAAGCACCTTAAAACTATTTAGCATAAAATGGTGACAGTGGAAGGGCTTGACTCACTGAACGTAACTACTCGACCACTTTATGGGTTGCTGGAGATAAGGGATTTCTGAGCTCCCATATGGTTCCAGAAGAAAAATCAGCTTATTCCAGGCTTCCCCTCCACTTGATGACTTCCACTTCCCCCACTAGCCAATGAAGGGACAGACAACTGCTCCTAACACAGAGTTCAGCACCAGAAGTGCATTTTAAAAAAGTGGAGAGCAAACATCCGTCACCTCTGCCATGCTATGAGCATAGTGCTTAGGAAGCAATAAAAGGAAGACTTCCAATGCAGGTAGATTCATTTTGTTTTCTTAAAACACAATCATTTCATCATTTTATCATTTCCTAAAAGATAAGCAGTCTCTAAGCCATTCAGTTTACCCAGCAAGACACACAAAATGTTCTGTTCCATTGCCACATTGTCAGTATTTCCCACAATAGCTTTGGATATCTTCTGCAATTCCCTAAGAAAATTCTGAAAAGGTTATTTGGACATTTACTTAAAAAGCATATCTAATTTTATTTATGCACATTTCATACACGTTTTCTCCAACCAATCTTAGCTAAGAGCAGTATTGCACATCTAAGTTGTATATTGAACTGCTGCATTCTGAATGGATATTGACACAATGTCAATAACAAATACTAAATAAATACAATATAAAATATATTAATTTATGTTCATTCATAAAAATATAAATGAATATAAATTAAAAATATGAAATGTATTCACAATAGACACAGCTTAGGAAGAGGCTGAAGATGCTAATTCACTGTCCAAAAAATTTGACAACATAATTTCAGCAATAAATATATTTCACTGAGCACATCTCACAAGGAAAGGGGGAAAAGGGAAGTAAAAGAAATATGCAATTACTCAATAGAGGTTTTTCCTTTTGCTGAAAATAGCTCCCTAGAATCGTGTGCCTCCTCTGAAGCGCTTCCTTACAGAGCCTTAAAAATTCTGGCACATGACAGCAGGCAGCTGAGATGCTCTGTGAAGCGGATGTGGGCTTGGGCCTCTTTTCCCTCTCCTCCCCATCTGCATTTCTGGGAACCTCTAAGTCTGACCTTATCCCAAGCCCAGCCTAGGAGGGGCTGTTTAGGGGAGGCTGAGTTGCAGGCCTGGCCCTGCTCAGCCCAGAGAAGCCCCAGGCCTGTTAACAATCAGCCCGAGGGACTCCCAGCACAGCCACGCACATGTGCAGCTGCAGATTAGGGAGAGAGGCGCTGGGGAGACAGGGGCTGTGCTGGGTGGGCTGGCTCACGGCGACTTTTGGCCCTGGGGAGATTAGGAGCAGCCTGGCACTGGGCACAGCTGCCCCACAGTGGCCATTATCAGGCTGCCCACGGCTTCCAGATACCACAGCCCTGGTGATGGGCTTGAGCTGAGAGCACAAGGACGCCAGGCTTTTGTGGTTGCTGGGCTTTCTGTGCTTGGTTGATTTTTTTTTGTTTGTTTGTTTGTTTGTTTTTTTAACACTACCTCCAATAAATATGCATGTGCAAGGATACTGGTTTTTAATGGTTTGGTTGGGAGGAACTGGCTTTTCAGAGCAGCAGAGAATATTGCTGAAAGGAAAACCTATTCAGTTTGAGACAAGCCTGGCTACAGGACATCAGATAATTTTGCAGAGATCTGTGAATGGCTACCAGACGAGCTGACGCAAGTCTTAACTAACCTGGGCTAGCTGAATCACCCTTAAGAATGACACCAAAAAAACACTGCATTCAACTGACAGGCTCCCTTCTTGCTCTGCTGTTCCTTTTGGTGTGTCGGTTCTGTGCCTCAGTTTCTCTTTCCACAGTGTGGAGCTAATAAACCTCAGACCCTCTACAAAATGTTCTGAAGCCAAGGAAGAGGAGCTAGGAGGGGAGAACTGTCTGTGGTTTACTAAACCTGTTTATCAAACATGAAAGCTTCTAGCTAATGTATGCAAAAGAGACTGATAATCCATTCACACCGTTACTAGAAGCTTCTGCAGGAAAATTAGAAAACTATTTTTACTATCGACTAAATCTTCTAGTAAATAATAAAGAACCTTCAGGAGCAGCCTAGAAAATGGACACAGGCCTGTGTTCCTTTGCTACTTGTAGCATTAAAGGGCTTGAGAAATCCAAAATTTGGGACTAGGAAAAAAAAAAAAAAACAAGAACCAAACCAAAAAAAAAACCAGTCGCAGTCGCTGGCCACAGCCTAGGACAAGGCTGAGGTGTTAGGCCAAAGGTGAAAAAATCCTTTAACAGCGCCTGTCCCAGACACAAGTCCTCTTGTCACAACCCATGTGACCAAATTTTTGAGCTGGGAAGGCGGGATCTGAGTTTGCTCCTCGTTCCCAAGAGCTCCATCAGACACGCTGAGGCGGCACCGAGGAGGGCGCAGGGCCGGCCCGCTGTCCCCGCCCGCCGCAGGTGAGCCCGGCCCGGCCCTCCGCTCCTCCCCTCCCGCCGCCCTCAAACCCCGGTGCGGCCGCAGCCCGGGAGCTGCCGCTGTCCCAGCATGGCCACGCCGCTGCAGCCCCTCCTGCCGCTCCTCATGCCGCTCCTGCTGCTCTGCGGCTGCCTCTGCCCGCCCGCCCGCGCCGGGCTCCACTTCAGGGAAGGGCAGCACTGCTACCGCCCGGCCCCGCGCAAGGCGCCCGGCCTCAGGTGCGCTGCGCTCCCTTGTGCCCTCCCGGCCACCCCCGGCTCGGAGAGGAGCGCTGGGAAGGGCTGGGCAGGCACAGCCGGGGCTCGGGAGTGCCCGGGGGGGTCCGGGGATTTCAGGGGAGCCCGGGGATTTCAGGGGGGGTCCGGGGGAGCTCGGGGATTTCAGGGGAGCTCGGGGATTTCAGGGGGGTCCGGTGATTTCAGGGGTGCCCGGGGGAGCCCGGGGGTTTCAGGGGTGCTCAGGGGGCTCCGGTGATTTCAGGGGTGCCCGGGGGAGTCCGGGGGTTTCAGGGGTGCTCGGGGGAGCCCGGGGATTTCAGGGGGGTCCGGTGATTTCAGGGGTGCCCGGGGGAGCCCGGGGGTTTCAGGGGTGCTCAGGGGGGTCCGGTGATTTCAGGGGTGCCCGGGGCCGCTCGGGCCGTGCCGGGCTCCGGTGTGTGGGGAGCGGTCACGAGACCGCGGGGCCGGAGCGGTCACGCCGCGCTCACGTGACCCCGGCGGCCGCTGGCGGGCCCGTTGTGAAACTCGGTGAAATCCCTGAGTTTTGGGGTTTTTTTGGGTGTTTTTGTTTTTAATAACACCCGCCCGCCCTGCTCCGGGGGATGCCGGCGCTACCTCCTCGTCCCGTTCCCCCGCAGGACCTACCCCCGCCCGCACGAGTACCTGGACGTGTCGGCGCTGCCGCGGAGCTGGGACTGGAGGAACGTGGATGGGGTGAATTACGCCAGCACCACTCGGAACCAGCACATCCCCCAGTACTGCGGCTCCTGCTGGGCCCACGGCAGCACCAGCGCCTTGGCAGGTACCCTCGGGCTCGCTGGGGTGGGCTCCCTGCTGGAATCGGGAGTTTTTGGGAAGCAAAGCAAGTTTAGCTTCAGGTTACCGACAGCTGGTATAAGGTGCCAAATCACTGCAGTGACTAACGCAGCAAAACCGAGGCTGAGATGTCTGTGAATACACCAGAGCAGTGGGAATGCCCAAGCTGAAGGCAAGGAGGGTTGCTTTCAATAGAAAAGTGAGGCTGTTTCCACCTCATCCAAAGGCAGCAAGGGGGGAATGATGGTTTGTGGTTAAAAACCTGTTTGCAGAAGGAATGTGGCCATAGCTCCTCCCAAACTGCTCTTTAGGTCCTGGGGTAAGATCTGGCGTTTCTGCCCTCCCTCAGAGGTGTGGTGGTTTGCAGCAGCAGATGCAAAAGAGTTTCTCAGGTCTCCTTCCCCCTTCTGGTACCTCACTACAGCAGGGGCTCTCCAGCCATGCTGGCAATGAGGAAATAAAAGAAGATGCCTCTTGTGGTGTATTTGCTACAGGAGCCCTGTAATTCCATGGACTGACCACCACAGCAGACACAGAAGTCTGATTTCAGCCTTTTTCTTAGTCAAGGGGAAGTAGTGGTTTGCTACAGATGGAGAAGTAGTGGCTCTAGAGAGAATGCATGATTTGCATGCAACAGCTTCGTGCTGGAGAAGCACCACTTGCACAGGGAGGCTGTAGGAAAATTAGCTGTGAAGGGGAAACTGGGGAGAAGGGGGAAGATAATGCAGGTGTGAGCAGACAGCAGAAATCATGGAGCACACAAGGATGTGGACAGGTATGACACCTGCCAGGGTGGAGTGAAGTGCTGGGATAGTAAAATACAGCAACTTGCAGGAAGATGAGGCTGGGATGATAGCTCCCTGTTCTGTCAAGTTTATTTGAATGTTGTCGGTACTAACAGGATTTGAAGTACTACAGTGGCATCAGTTAAGACTGTTAATGCAGAAAAGCAGTTTATAAATACTCGTCAGGAAGCTGTTCCTCCAAGTAAGCTTGTTGTTTCTGACAAAAGAAGGCAGCAGGGTGGTGGTGCCTGTCTGAGATGGCAGGATAACAGTGAGATGCTGATGTAACAGCAAGGAGACAGTCTAAATGCAGGAGAAAGCTTTCAGAGTTATCTGTCTCACAGAGCCAGCAGCCTGGGCTCCATGGGCTCATGTTTATGCATGGACTCATACATAAATCTCTACTCCTGTAAAAGGTGCTGCTCAGAGCTGTTTTTATGATGTGTGTTTGAAAACTCTTCGCTGTCAAAGTCAGGAATCAGATCTGGGAGTTTTCAGAAGCTGTGGCTTGAATTAAAAGGTCTAGGGCTCTTCAAGGTTTTAGACAGATCTTACTCATCTCCACGTTTTTGCTGAGTTTTTAATGGAAAAAAACCCTGGTAATGGAAACCCACAATAATAGCTCAGCCTCTGGTTTGAATTAGGTCACGCTGAGTTCCTCACTGCAGACAGCAGAGCCTTTCCAACCACAAGTGCTGCTGTCTGCAGCCAGTTACAGGCTCAGTGAAGAGGAGACAGTTTCAAAGCCAGTTGCAATGTGTAGCCACCGATGTATTCCAGCAGCAAACCCCAGTTTCTTATCCTTGCAGACCGAATCAACATCAAGAGGAAGGGTGCTTGGCCCTCTGCCTACCTGTCAGTGCAGAATGTCATTGACTGTGCTGATGCTGGCTCCTGTGAGGGTGGGGACCACTCCGGGGTCTGGAGGTACGCCCACGAGCACGGCATCCCCGACGAGACCTGCAACAACTACCAAGCCAAGGATCAAAGTAGGATATCTCTGCTTTGCTCTAGGATTTCTTCCCAGGTTTAGCAGATCTTAGTGTGTTAAAAAAATGTTTTGGGTATTCAGAGTACTGGTTCCTGCTGTTTGACTGATAGAACAGGTTTGCTTAACGGGGCTGCGTGTGTCTCCTGCTCCAGACAGTGTAGCACTAAATCATGCTCAGGCAAGTTTGCACAGCTGGATGGTTTTAACTTAATCTCTTAAATCTGTGACACACAATCTCTAATGAAACATTTACTAGTGTCACCTCAAGCTGAGCAAAGGAGAAATTTAACCTTTGGTCATGTATGACTGGAATGGTTTCTTTATGTCCTCAACAAAGTATTTACACCTGTGAAGTAAAGAACAGTAAGTGGTGATAATAGGGACTTCAAATGTGGTTTCCAGAAAATAATTGAGTTCACCAGAGAGAATATGTATTAATAATTACTCTGAAGTTATTAATATTTGCCTCAAATTATAAAAGCTCAGTGTCCTACAATCACTTCACTTGAAGAAAAGCACCTTCCTGCAGATTATCTCCAGTGGTAATCTCATCTCTGTTTTACAGAGTGCAAGAAGTTCAACCAGTGTGGAACTTGTGTCACTTTTGGAGAATGCCATGTGATCAAGAACTACACTCTCTGGAAAGTTGCTGACTATGGGTCTGTCAGTGGAAGAGAAAAAATGATGGCAGAAATCTACACTAATGGACCAATTAGGTAAAAAAACCCCCAAACATGAAACTCGGTGTACATTTTCACTCTCGCACATGTCAGCAGCTCTGCTCTAACATGCAGACTCTAGTTTGTATATAAAATGAGATCAGAATTCAAAATACAAGAAAACCAGTTGGTTTTTAGCCAGACCCCTGCCCTGATCCCCTTGTATGAAACCTCCTCTCTCTGTTTTCTTGCAGCTGTGGCATAATGGCTACTGAAAAGCTGGATGCCTACACAGGGGGGCTGTACACAGAGTACAACCCCTCCCCTACAGTGAACCACATCGTGTCTGTGGCTGGCTGGGGAGTGGAAAACGGGACAGAATATTGGATAGTTCGTAACTCCTGGGGTGAGCCCTGGGTAAGGAGACATGGCAACACACTTCTGCCTTTGGAGGGTGGGGTTTGTCACTGGCAGAACTACAGCTTGTGGACATAAAACTGAAACTTCCTTTGAATTAGACTACCCAGTCAATC